CGAACCGAACACTGATTTTGGTAATAAAATTCAATGATTTGCAAGCGTTGCTCGTTAGTAAGTCTATTCATGATGAAATGTCAAAGCATACTGAGCATCTTTCTCTTTGACACCATGTCTGAAATCCCACGTGATCTGTCAAATACTAATGCATGAAAATCCTAACCTCAAAAAAATCACCCGTTAGTTACAATATATTTGAAACTTTTGTTGATGTTTGAAAAAAATAGTTATTTATACTTACATGTACAGATAAAGTGAGTATCCACAGCAACGCCGACATTATATATGTGAAGAATAAATTGGCGTGAATTGAATTGCGCAAACAGCGTAATTCCCTGCGTTTGTTTTCCATTTCGTTTGAGTTTATTTCCAATTGTATGCGCACCGAATGTGAGGGGTGGCATTGGCAAGGAAACAAAAGACATCAATGGCGGCGGCCAACAGAGTAAAATATGTATAGCAATAATCGTACATACAATAGCAGAGGCAGACACCATGGCGTTGAGAACGTGTGAAGAGAAATACAATAATATATTACACATAAAGCATGTATATAAATGTATGTATACATATAAGTGTGTATTCTCAAAGGAGCAGCGGAAAGCGTACTAAAAATCTGGTATCAAAAAAAAAACAATATATGTTTGCGGCAATGAAACAAAGGTTACCATGGTAAATAGTGTGAAAGCGAATGCCGAACGTTTTTGCAATTTAAAGCGTCTTACACAAATGAACAAATCGAACGTAAGGACATTTACTATATACATATGTATGTATATGCACATATAAGAATATCACAATGCTTTTACTTCACAAATGATTATATGAATGTAGTCTGCCAATTATTTACTTGAAGAAATGTTACTAGAAACAGGCAAATTCGTAGAGGTGGGGTAGTATACTTAGATATGAATATGAGCGGATCCGAGAAATGGTCAACCAAAATCGCAAAAAATTCATGCAATTCGAATTCTCTAATTTTTGGGTCAAAAAAGGCATGGTACAACATATTCTTATTTCATACTTCTTTTCACTTTTATTTGAGAAACCTGATTTGGCCCTCTTATTTCTTGAAACAATATCGCTTCAATTAAATAAATTTTTTCAACAAAAAAGGGTAACGTCCGTAACGTAACGTCCCGAACGCACATATAAAATTGTTGTAAAGTTAATCCAATCTTGAGTTTGCTTTAATATCACATTTTGTAAACTTCATTACTTTCCCTTCAAAGTATTTTTGTAGATTGTACCCTCCATGCACGACAATTTGCGCAAATCGGTTGACTTTAATGGTCATAAAAAATCGCTTCCTTTTGCAGTAACATCCGAACATAAATTTCGAAGGCAAAAACACCGACATTAACCCAAATTCGAATTTCCGTTATTTTGTTCCCATAAGGACTGCTATAAATTTTTAACTTATAATATTTTTGTCGGCAAAAAAGGTAAAAGAAACGTCCGAACGTAACGTCCGCAACGCTAGGATTTGCCCATATACATAATAAGTGTGTGCATGTATGTGCTTAGATCTGAAACCTTTACATGAATTACCCTGCAAAAATCGCGGCTACTCCATGTATGCATGTAAAGAGTACTCCCAAGGGCCAAGGAGTACTCCAAAATAAACCACAAATCATATAAAAAATATGATCGAATTAACATTGGGATGCCCTAGGGCAGGACCATATACATACAGCATTGTTGATATATTTTTTTGTTTGTACACGCTTCTGTTCTTCACTTCACAGATGATTTTTCGCAATTAATAAAAACCAAAAACAAAAATAAAAAATACATGTTGCCTCTGACGACATTCGAACCCAAACATGCTAGGCGCTAGCAATTGCTGATTTAAATAACAGCGAGCATCTCTACACGTTCAGCTACAGCCAGACATGTAAATGTGCTTTCAAATGCTCAACTTAAATCACATTTCGTTAAAACACGAGCAGTGATCGGCCAAAAATAAACTGGTGCAGAGACACGAGTTGGTCCGCTACAACATGACAGAGGTGCACTTTTGTAAGTACTCCAATATACCATGGGCGACCACATTGTCCACCGATTTTTGCAGGGTATTATTAAAGTTTGTCCTAGAAATAGTAAGTGGAGAAAAGTAATCTCGAAAAGTACTTAAAGTTTTTAAAGACCTAAAAAATAATATTAGGTCAAATATTGCTCGGTGTGACAGTGAAAATACAAGCGAAAAACTATATAGGACAGGTTGTAAGTAGGGTCGAATAGAATATGAACATATATTGCATATAGTGCCTAAACCCTCTAAGTTTTTGATTGAAAACCCGTTAGTTTCGCACTTGATCCACTTATCTAGTTTTAATAGCTAACATATTTTTCATCCGATTTCAAACATCGAATATGTTTTAGAAGGAAAATTTATAGACGTTTAAATTATATTGTTATTTTCTATATTTTAATTTTTTCAACTTTAACTATCGTTATTGTAAAAGTTAAGAATAATTCATGCTAATGCAATGGTGTAGTGCTAAAATAGTTCTAAAGTTGTACCAAAACTGGAACTATTCCGGTGAAGAATTATTTCATCATAAGTAGTATATATTCCCTTTAACTTCGATCAAGGGAGTTGTAATTTTATATTGTCTATCCTTCAGCACAGATCCCAATATCATCAAGTCGGCATAGGATAGCATCAACGGAAGGCAGAGAATTTATACTCAAAGGAGAGTGGAAGGATCAAAGCTAACACCCAAGAAATTAAGGACTGTGTTACTGCAGAATATTAGCCGCCGTCTCTTCGCCAACAATTAGCGAGTGGCGAAACGAACGAACTCAATGAGGTACAACCAAACCCGCTATCGTCCATCATTGCTAGCTAACTTTGTTGTTGCTTTCACATGCAAAAATTTTAACTAAGCGACCGGAACTCAAACAAGCGAGCAGAAAAGTAGAGAATCGGTGGCGCCATTATGGAACCGCCATTTTGAAGTTGGAAAAACTGACTTCAGATTCCTAATTAGCTACCCCAGAAACTCCCTAGTAATAAGTTCCGACCCATGACAATGCGTTAATCTTCCAATATCAACGCTTTAATTTTAGTAGTATTTTTTGAAAGCATATTTTCGGGCACTAGGCTCACTCTAACTGTCCATTACAGGTATATTTAATTATGGGAATATTCACCAATAATCCCTGAGTGATTACGTGTAAAAATAACATTTTTAGCTGCACTTTGACAGGTCAGGAAAACAAAAGCATTGAGAACATCGACATTATAAAAAACCGACTAGTCCGACCTCCAAAAAAACTTTTTTTTTAAATAAAAAATACATGTCTCTTGTTTTATTTATAAAAAATCGACTAGTCCGACCTCCAAAAAACTTCTTTTTTTTAAATAAAAAATACATGTCTCTTGCTTTATAACAAATAACAATATTTTGATGTAGCGTTTATGAATTTCGAAAAATAGTGTTTTTTTTAATCACTCTAATGTATATTTACATACATATATGGTATATGTAAAAGTTTCGCCAAATTTCATGGGTTCTTAGAACTTGTTTCCAAAGAGTATAAACAACTTAGTTAATATGTATAATCTTGCTGACCGATAAAATCTGGCAAAAAGCTATGCAGAAAAAACTTTCGAAAGTGTATACACTAAAATTGGGCAGAGTATGAATGTAGTATGTATGTGTTTAAAGGCCTGCAAATGTTGAACCATAAAACATAGCGACATATGTCACATCATGCAAATCCCATTTCATGCTATGTCGCTCATATATTTTTGACACTGACTGAATTGATTTAAATTGAAATCAAATGATGCATCAAATCTACGCATGTCAACACAAGCGACAATTGGGTCAAATGCGACATATAGTCTGTTCGAATAGATCTCCCGTGAAAAATATAACTGGTTTACACCAAAAATGTTCTATGGATGCCACTGTCCAATTCCTATCTAGAATAGCTCGGTAATTCCGAAAATGTGTTAATTTTTTATTCTATACGTAGGTTTTCGAGATATTTTCAATATACCGTTGTTCAGCTTAAAGCAAAAGTTGGTTTCCTCTAATCACGTATATTTTACGAACCAATTTAAAAATCTTAATATAGCGGCAGATGAAAGCTAATGAAATTCTCCAGAAACCGTATATACATCATTTTCCAATAGGGCCTATTGTTCCTGACAAATTAATTAATCATTCCAGCTTTCTTTATTTTNTTTTCGAGATATTTTCAATATACCGTTGTTCAGCTTAAAGCAAAAGTTGGGGTCCTCTAATCACGTATATTTTACGAACCAATTTAAAAATCTTAATATAGCGGCAGATGAAAGCTAATGAAATTCTACAGAAACCGTATATACATCATTTTCCAATAGGGCCTATAGTTTCTGACAAATTAATTAATCATTCCAGCTTTCTTTATTTTTTAATGAAAAAATTAAAAAAATTCAAACTTTAACAGAAGAAAAATTTAAAAAATATAAGGTTCTGTGCCAAATTTTTGCATTTTTACTAAAGCCTGTTGTGTTACAAAAAAAAATCAAATTACTAATGAAGAAAAAAATCGATGGATAAATAAGAAATAATGAGTGGTCGAATGAAAATACGAAAAGATTTTTTGTATTTCATTTTATATTAAAATTGTTAAATTGGTTCGTAAGATATACGTGATTAAAAGGAACAAATTTTTTTTTAAATATCTATACTTTGATTTACAGATGTACTAAGATTACCTTCTATGTGAATTAACGACGCTAGAGTTCTGAACGTATTCAACTCGGAACCCGCTGGTGGTAGCAGAGGAAGAGGGAGGCCCCCTCTGAGATGAAAATACCAGGAGGAGAAGGACTTGGCTTCATTCGGCATTTCCNCGCTAGAGTTCTGAACGTATTCAACTCGGAACCAGCTGGTGGTAGCAGAGGAAGAGGGAGGCCCCCACTGAGATGAAAATATCAGGAGGAGAAGGACTTGGCTTCATTCGGCATTTCGAATTGAAGTCAGTTGGCACAGAAGAAAAACGACTGGCGTGCTTTGTTGAACTCGACCAAAACCGATTAGGCGGTTACAGCGCCAAAGAAGAAGAAGAAGAAGTTGTTGTTGTTAGTTTTTATTCCCTTGTGCATATGGTTGCCATACCCAAATTTTTTTCTGTACCCAAGTTTTTCCTTAAAAAAATACCAAAAGCGATAAAAATGCAGCAAGCTGGGTTATCTTTTGCCAAAATTTTAAATTTTGAGTGAATTGGTTGTCGTAAGTAAAACTAGATCATTTTAAAATTAATTTTAGTAACAACAACAATGCGTGCCATTTTACTATCCCATAACTAAAGAGACCGGTTGAGAAAAATAACTTATTCCACCAATTATCTTGGTCTACTTATCGATTAGAAAGGGGTTTCCTATCCAACCAATTTAACTATAAAACAGCGAAATCGGGGACAATGTGCAAAGATGAAAAGAATGTAACAAGTTGACCACCTGTGACCACCGTGAAAAATTTGGATAGGTGTTTATACCTGCAAGTTTTTGCAAAGTTTTCGTTCTTCAGTTTATTTTCCTATCTCTGAGAAATTTATTTATTAGAAATTTTGTTATGGAGAATACGGGAACAAAACTTGAGAATAAAAAAATAAAAGTGACACAATCTCAATATTCAATAAAATTTCTGTACGGTTTTTAACTGGTGTATAGTATATACTGCANTTGTGAAACCATAACAACTCTGCTCATCTACGGAAAAATGCCTTTCCAACGGTGTTCTTGGTTTTGAAATCGGTTCGGTAGAATCGCCAAACGAACGGAGACAAAATTTATGTTAGCGTATTAATATATAGATAATGGACCCAGGACCTACTCTTTTTTTTTTGTAAGAATATCGAAACTATGTCTTTCGGATTATTATTTCTCTTGCTGAAATACTCCATACTGGCCCTATTATATTGACTTCACATGAAAATTTTGATATTATCTTCTCTTGTAAAAATTCNTAGCGTATTAATATATAGATAATGGACCCAGGACCTACTCTTTTTTTTTTTGTAAGAATATCGAAACTATGTCTTTCGGATTAATATTTCTCTTGCTGAAATACTCCATACTGGCCCTATTATATTGCCTTCACATGAAAATTTTGATATTATCTTCTCTTGTAAAAATTATTTGTAAGCGTTTCCGCGTCTCCTTTTAAATTTTATATGCATTCAATACTCACTTGAAATATACAAACACAATAATCGCCAACGTCAGTGATACTAAGCTGATGGTGTAGCCAATGTAGTAAATTATCGTTGGCAATTCGACGATTGGTTCGAATTCAGGTACAGTTGAGGGGGCGGGTAGATGCATGCATAAATCATAATTAGTGTACTTCTCCCATGTGCCGTTCGCATGGCAGTACCGCGTCGCATTTTCTAAAAAAAAAATGTAAAGTGATATGGTATTAACAAGTTTTTTCACATAGAAATACAATATTTTTTTGCGAATTTGTTGTAATATTGTTCACTAATATAATTATTATTATATAAATACCCCAGTCGGCAAAAGCAGAAAAATGCCTTTTAGGAGCATTAAGCTTTGATCTTTTGAATTCATAAGCTTCCGTACTCGATTCTTAACTCCGTTAGCATACATACATTTGTAATGACCAGAGTTTCTGATTCAGCTTCCATTAGAAAGGGAAGATTTATATGGAATAATAATAATGACCTAGTGTAGATTATGCCTTGCTCGAGACACGCATCAGTAACTCTACTAGGGTTACTCATACGCCACGCTGAACAAGCTTAATAAATGGCAATTGGTTTCGCGAAAGTGATTGGTTGACAATTTTTTCCTCTAAAATCTTAATAAAACTTAATACGATGAATGAAAAGCAAACCATCGGTGATATTAGCAGCACTGCTCTAAATGCCAATAGGTTTTTAAATATGTAGTCCAAAATATTTCCTGAGATTGCTTAATTTTGAGAGTAACACGGTATGCTTTTTATCAGTTAGAAAATTATTTGGACCTTTACAGCCAGATTGTCTGATATATTTGGTAAAATACCTTTTCGGCAAGTGTCGCGTGGCAGCGCTATTGAAAGATCTTCCACCGTCTTTTCTTTTGCCGGCTGGGGCATAAATATCTCGAGCTCAGCTTTTAAACTAATATTTATGCAGGTTATTTCTGCAGGACTAACCTACAGCTTAAATCATCAGGCTACCAGAACAAAACATGAGGAACCAAATCCACCCTGCTGTGATACACCAAATAATGTGTTGAGAGAAATATATTAAGGTAACGTAACTGAATTTGCGTTTGTTAAACTTTGGGGAAAAAACGATCGAACTTCAAAACTCTCGAAACTATCAATATACACACAAAACTATGGACCAAATATAGGAATGCAGTGCGTAAATGAGAAAGTAAAAAAATATATCTTGAGGCATATTGTAACGCGTTACTTCATCGATAAAGAAAGTAATCGCTTACCAAAAAAATTAAAGTTTTTGCTAGGTAGTTCTTTGTTTTTTTTCAGTTCAAAATATTTGTTTAAGGATATGAAAACGGATATGTTTCGTTAGCATATAAATGTACCTACATATGGGTACATATTATGCAGTGAAAAAGAAGTTCAGTTACGTTGGTAACTATAAATCACTTTACTAAACTCGTTTCTCAGTTTGTAGATGATAGACTTTGTTAAAGCTTAAGCTTGGTTACAACAATTCATGCCCGACATAATTGTAGGACCACCCTTTGTTCTTTAGAGCTTCTATCGTGTTGGAGACTCTGCGAGTGGCTTTTTGCAGATGTGAAAATGCTGGTACCAGCGTGGATTAGCAGCCAAGTGTACAGCCTCATATGGGGAAAGACGTCAGCAGTTGGGATGAAAGATTGCAGAAGCACAAAGAGTCCAACCNCTGATGGTGTAGCCAATGTAGTAAATTATCGTTGGCAATTCGACGATTGGCTCGAATTCAGGTACAGTTGAGGGGGCGGGTAGATGCATGCATAAATCATAATTAGTGTACTTCTCCCATGTGCCGTTCGCATGGCAGTATCGCGTCGCATTTTCTAAAAAAAAAAATGTAAAGTGATATGGTATTAACAAGTTTTTTGACATAGAAATACAATCTTTTTTGCGAATTCGTTGTAATATTGCTCACTAATATACATAGGTACATATGTATGTATAAGCATATATAATTATTATTATATAAATACCCCAGTCGGCAAAAGCAGAAAATGCCTTCTAGGAGCATCTAGCTCTGATCTTTTGAATTCATAAGCCTCCGTACTCGATTCTTAACTCCCTTTGCATGCATACATTTGTAATGACCAGAGTTTCTGATTAGCTTCCATTAGAAAGGGAAGATTTATATGGAATAATAATAATGACCTGGTGTAGATTATGCCTTGCTCGAGACACGCATCAGTAACTCTATTAGGGTTACTCATACGCCACGTATCCACACATTTCAACAAACTTAATAAATGGCAATTGGTTTCGCGAAAGTGATTGGTTGACAATTTTTTCCTCTAAAATCTTAATAAATCTTAATACGATGAATGAAAAGCACACCCTCGGTGACATTAGCAGCACTGCTCCAAATGCCAATAGCTTTTTAAATATGTAGTCCAAAATATTTCCTGAGATTTCTTAATTTTGAGAATAAGACGGTATGCTTTTTATCAGTTAGAAAATTATTTGGACCTTTACAGCCAGATTGTCTGGTATATTTGGAAAAATACCTTTTCGGCAAGTGTCGCGTGGCAGCGCTATTGAAAGATCTTCCACCGTCTTTTCTTTTGCCGGCTGGGACATTAATTTATCGAGCTCAGCTTTTAAACTAATATTTATGCAGGTTATTTCTGCAGGACTAACCTACAGCTTAAATCATCAGGCTACCAGAACAAAATACGAGGAACCAAATCCACCCTGCTGCGGTACACCAAATCATATGTTGAGAGAAATATATTAAGGTAACGTAACTGAATTTGCGTTTGTTACACTTTGGGGAAAAAGCGATCGAACTTCAAAACTCTCGAAATTATCAATATACACACAAAACTATGGACCAAATATAGGAATGCAGTGCGTAAATGAGAAAGTAAAAAAATATATCTTGAGGCTTATTGTAACGCGTTACTTCATCGATAAAGAAAGTAATCGCTTACCAAAAAAATAAAAGTTTTTGCTAGGTAGTTCTTTGTTTTTTTTTTCAGTTCAAAATATTTGTTTAAGGATTTGAAAACGGATATGTTTCGTTAGCATATAAATGTACCTACATATGGGTACATATTATGCAGTGAAAAAGGAGTTCAGTTACGTTGGTAACTATACATCACTTTACTAAACTCGTTTCTCAGTTGGTAGATGATAGACGTTGTTAAAGCTTAAGCTTGTTCACTACAATTCCTGCTCGACATAATTGTGGGACCACCCTTTGTTCTTTAGAGCTTCTAGCGTGTTGAAGGACTCTGCGAGTGGCTTTTTGCAGATGTGAAAATGCTGGTACCAGCGTGGATTAGCAGCCAAGTGTACAGTCTCATATGGGGAAAGACGTCAGCAGTTGGGATGAAAGATTGCAGAAGCACAAAGAGTCCAACCGCCATAACAGTAATTTGTGGCACAAGCCAGCCACGCGCATCCCGAGATGCATATACATACTTATGTAGATATGTACTAATAGCATGTATGCACATTAGACTGCATCACTCCCCATACAAAAAAAAATCGGTACTATTTTTCCANAATACATATATACATTAGACTGCATCACTCCCCATACAAAAAAAAATCGGTACTATTTTTCCATTGGAGTTATAAAATCTATTATATTTTAAGACGTCCACCAAAATTTTTCGAAAAAATATTAAGATTTAAGTGAGCTGGACCAGTTTCAAAATACCTCCAAAAATGGAGCTTTTTATGAATAAAAATAGTTTCTTAAAATTTTTTTTTGAAAAAAATCCCCTCAAATGACAAAACGGTTAAAGCTTAAAAAATTTGCATAAAAATATTTTTAAAAAATTAAAAAAAAATTTGAACGGAATAGTAATGATGAGTGTTTTGATGCTGTTTTTTAA